ATCGCGGTCGGGGAAGCAGCCCGCTGAGGCCGAGAGGGAGCCGGCGCTGGAGCCAAACGAGGTGACAGCGGTCGTGGGCCGGGGCGGATAGCCGCAGCGCGCAGTGGGACCCGGGCGCTGGCGAGCGGGCGAGGCCGAGCTCTCGCGGCCTCATGTGCGGGGCGCCCTGAGGGTGCTGGGCGCATCCTCCGGGGATGTGGCAATGGCGTAGCGCATGGTGGCTCCTTGGGGCCGGGGCAGAGGCTGGGCGGAGAAGAGGCGCCAGGGTGGCCAAGGCCTCGGAGGTGGAGGTCGGGGGGATCGTCCTTAAGTGACAGAGTACCTGTGCCGGGCTGTTTGCAGGGGACCGCTCCAGGTGCGCCCACGGCCGGTACGATGGGACAGCCGCCTCCCTTAAGCAGCGTACTGTTCAGTGTTAATGCCACAGCTATTCGGCGGCTCTCGCCGTAGTGTCAGGTGGCATTCTGTGTTGTCGATGGCCGTTCAAACAAGAGACCTCGCTGGCACACCGCCAGGAGAACCCCCCCGGAAGTGTGCGTACCTGGGCTGGATCTGGGTGCAGGGTGCACCGGGGAACTAGGAGTGGAGGAAAGGTGTGGGGATCAGCTGATAGAGATGGCATCCAGGGAGGTGTCCAGGCAGAGAGGACAGCCTGCCCTGAGGGGTGGTCTGCAGTGGGGGGCAGTCCTGTGGGGCTGGAGAACAGTGTCAGGGGGACAGCATGGGAGGGGAGAACAGGGGAGGGTGGGCGTCCTGTCATTCAGAACCTTTGAACAGCAGAGGACCAGCAGCTGCTGAGGCTGCTGATGTACAAACATCAGCATTTGGACGTCCAGGGTCTTGGCTTCACAGGACATCCCAGTTTGTTGTTTAGTGCTTCTGTTCTTACATGCGATCATCCAAGGCCCAACCATTGGTCTCTGTTCACCTGGGGGAAGAGAGGAAGGAGAGTCAGGAAGAAGAGGAAGTGGAATATGTGGCTAATGGCCTTCATTACCAGCTGCCCACTTTGCCTTGAGACCAAAAGAACTGGATGGTGCCCAGCTACGATTACTGAATATTTTGGTCAAAGATTCTTTAGAAGAATCCTGATCAAAGTGGGGAAAATGTAGAACAGAAGTTCACATTCTCATGGACCGTCGACTTTTTGGAGCCATGGATGCTGGATGAACCCCTGAAACTGTTGCCGAGATGAGCTTTAAACCTTAAACCAAAAATGTCCTGAAGTCGCCTTAAAACCGAGTACTAGTTCAGTTTCTCTAATAAATGATGCCCGCCTTAACCATCAGGCTCTTTTCAGGACCATCTCCATGGGATCAAATTGAAAACAGCAACTCAAAAATTAGATAGGAAACTTAGGGGACAATGACTTTATGTAATAGGGAGGAACAACTCAGAGAAGAAGGGTGAACATGGTGGCCCAGCTCAAAGAATGTCACCAGCATCACTGAATGGGACACGCAGAAACCATTGAATTGGTGTCTGTTTTACTGTGTATGCCCTCAACAGTGACAAAGGAAGACAAGACAGAGTAGAACGTTTGCACTCACTCTCCTGGGAAACAGCGCTTAGGTCTGCGGCCCTGTGTGGTTAGCGGCTACGTTAGATGCTTCACGGTGACGCACAGAGATACGAGCTGAGGAGGTACTGGACGGAGCCCAGTCTGCAGGCTGCCGTAGAGCTTCTCGTGGTAGACACGCTGTTTTAACTCAACCCACTGACCACTGCTGCTTCGTTGCCCCGCTTGCCCCACTTGCTGGGCTGCGGTGTCAGATCCAGGGCGCAGAGACGCATCTGGTCCAGCCTCTTGCAGCTGATGCCACTTAGCTGGCTTCAGGGGAGCTGTCCCTCTGCTTTGTGAGATGGACTCATGCTGTCCCCCTTCTGCTGCTGCGTCCCTCGCACCCCCAGCAGGCAGTGCTCTGCTCTCCTCATGGCTGTGGTCACCAGCGGGGCCAAGGGCTCATCGGGAGCCAGGTCCAGCTGTTTCTGTTTGCTGTTGTAACTGTGTAGCTGTCAAAACTTGACAGAGTGTAAGTGTAGCTGAGGGTCATGTCTGTGAAAACAAAATTGGATGCTGGGGAAAATAGGCTGCAATGAAGTTGGATGCTAGGCACGGCTGGTAACCGGATGAGACGGTGAGAACATCGAAGGAGTGGGGAGTCTGGATTCTGTGTTCAGGGTGCTTCTGAGGCACTTCTGCGACCTTGTATCACAGCAAAGGCCACGTTGGGCTTTGTAATGGGCCCTGCTTGTGGTGGAGTAAAGCTTATCAGGTCGGCGACTACTTAATCAGGATTTTCTATTTAGTGATTGACTGGTGGCCTGAGTCTCACTGGATGATGAGGCCTCTGCCCTCCTTCATTCTGTCTCTGCCTGGTTCCTCTCCTCGTGTGCTCATGACTCCGGGAGCCTCGAATGACAGGGTGAGGCATGGGAGGTTTCATTTGACACAGAAAGCCAGCTTGGAGGACGCAGTGAGAGCTAAGCTCTCAGAAGATGACACTGTCCTTTGACGAGTCTCTGTCTCGGGGAACCTAAGTCAAACGCCCGTTCAAGGGGGAGCGGTGATGTGTGGAGGTGGAAGATAGGGTGCAGGTGGAGGCTTGCTGCTCCTCTGGGCTGCGATGGGGCCGGGTGCCTGGTGGACAAGGGGGAGCGGTGATGTGTGGAGGTGGAAGATGGGGTGCCTGGTGGACAAGGGGGCGCTTTTAGAACCCGTGCTCTGCTTTCCTGCAGCCCTCCCTGCCCGGCGGCCCTGCTCCCGGCCGCAGTGACCCCAGTGGCTCTGGCCTCTCTGACAGTGAGGAGAGCGCATTCTCCGGCCTGGAAGAGTCCAGCAGCGACAGCAGTGAGGATGGGGCCAACAGCGATGATGACCACGGTGGAACAGAGAAGGCCACTGGGACACAGCCACAGGTGGGTGGGCAGGGCTTCCCGTGGGCCTCCCTGGGGCCAGGCAGCCAGGAACAGTCTTCCATGGCCGGGTGCAGGGCTCACCAAGAGGCCATGACTGGCTTTCCCACAGCTTGTAAGCCCCTTGGGTGCCCCCTCCTCCCTGCCCCTGGGGCACCTTTGGTGCCCGGCACAGCCACCAGTTTGGAGCTTGGGCAGCAGGCTGCAGGGCACTGGCTCCAGCCACAGTGGGTGTCAATCACTGGGGAAAACCACGTCACCTCCATGAGACAAGGACACCTTCTCCTGACCCTGCCAGCCTCGGTCTTCATGGGAGCCCTGTGGAGATGGGCAGGTGTCAGCGAATCCCTTGCTGTGATGACAGACAGGCTGAGCCCTGCGCTTGTTTTAAGACAGTGGAAGAAAGGCTTTGTTTAACCAAATATGAATCAACTACTTTGAGGTCCTAGACACTGGTTCTTTAACACAAGGAATGTATCGAGCTATCTCAAGTGACGTGCTGTGAGGGCCGGGGGCCTGGCTGGGGAGGCCTAGTCCCCACAGCTGGGGGCCTGGGGCTGCGTGCACGGCTGTGCTGTATGAAGCCCACGCGGGCTCTCGGCCAGCATGGCGCCCGTTCCTCTGCTGGCTCACTTCTCTGCTTGCATTGCTGTGCCATGCCCCCACAGGGTGTCCTTTATTGGCCACAGGCCAACCATAAAGACCAAACCAACTAAACAAAACCAGACTCACTGCCGTCGAGTCGGACCCGACTCATAGTGACCCCTCCTTGGGTTTCCGAGGCAGTATCACTATGGAAGTCGATTGCCCAACCTTCCTTCCGAGGAGCGGCTGGTGGGTTTGAACCGCCAGCCTTCTGGTCAGCAGTCAGGTGCCTTAGGCACTGCACCACCAGGGCTCTCACAGACCGATCCCGTTGCCCTCGGGCCGACTCGGATCCGGGGCTGCTCCTGGTGCCTGGTGGCCCTGATCCCCACGGAGTTTTCTGTGGCTGGTTTTGAAAATTCACCGTCAGGCCTTTCTTTCGAGGTGCCCCTGGGTGGACTAGAACCGTCAACTTTCGGTCAGCAGCCAAGCGTGTGCACCATTGGCACCTGGCAGAGAGACCCGGCTGTAGCCCTGACAGCAAACGCTCCACCACGTCCTCTGGGGGGTGAGGTCCTCTCCTCCGTGCTTCACAGGTGGCCATGGTCCTGCCATCTTCCTCCAGGGTGGACCTTGTCGACCCTGCTTCGGGTGAGGGCCAGACCAGCTGGGCAGCGGTGGAGGCTGCCCTCTAAAGCCACCCGCTTGGCTTGGCGGTGGCCCTGGAGCCTCCCAGCTCTGGACTGGGGTCCTCACCTCTTGCTGGGAGGGAAGTCTAAGATTTGCAGTGGGCATTTTAAAGCCACCGGCTGGCAGAAGGTAGCCATGTGGTTCCCATGTGCAGGTCCCCCACCCCAGGCCTGGGGCCCTGTCATTGAAGTCATGAGGTGAGGTCCTCATACACCCACATTTGGGGGTGGCCCAGGCTGGCCCCTTGTCCTTGGTGTGGACTATGCAGCTTCCCAGCTGGGGGTGCCACTGCTTTTCCTGGGGGGTTGGGGGTGGAAGGAGGACTGGAGGGTAACTTTGATTTCTTCTGGCTAGTGCAGTGCACTTTGGGTCTGGTAGGTGTCCACCTGCCGGCAGACACGCTGCACCTAGGGCTTTTCGGGGCTCTTGGGGGTGCCTGGGCAGAGCCTCTGAGCGGCAGAGTTCGCCAGTTTCAGCCAGCGCTTGTGGGACCCCTGCCCACAGCCCGGGGGCTTGGACGCCTGGAGGCTACCAGCCCTGGCGGGGGCACGGCAGTCAGACACTGCAGCCCTGAGCTCCTTCCCTCCTGGGCTCCAGCACCTCCTGCCGCCCTTCCCCGGCTCCTCCTCCTCTGGCCGCCTGGGGGCCCCTCTGCCCTGCCTGCCGCCCACCCGCTTCAGTGCCCTTCCAGGCCGCGGCCGGACCCAGCGGGTGCATCTTTGTGCGGAGGTGTTGGGCTCGCGCACCTCTTTCCCTCCCACTGGGTTCGCATGCCCCGGGCTCGGGAACGGCTTGTGGGTGAAGAACGCACCCTCTCCAGCTGGCGCCCCGCCCCTGGCCGCTCCGGACTCGGCCTGCGCTGAGTGCGGCGCTGGGTCATGGCAGCATCTGCCCAGCTTTAGGTGGCAGCGCCCTTGTATAAGGTTTTTTATTTTAATTTTAGAGTTGGGGAAAAAAAAAAAAAAAACTAGTGCCCAACTGGGCAGCCCGCTCCGTAAGGCTGGGGGAAGTTCCGGGTTCGCGCGGGGCGGAGCCCCATGTCCGCGGCGTCGCGCCTGCCCCCTGGCGGCCGCTGCCGGCCTTGCAGCCTCTTCCAGTGGACGCTGCCCGTGGCTCAGGGCGAGCTGGGAGGTCAGGCCTGGAGACTCGAAGCCTGCGGGACTCCGGAGCACACCTCCCTGTGACCCAGTGCATGCCCCCTGCGATGTGGGGTGCATGAGGAACCCCTCCCTGCTCCTCATGCTCCCGCAGTGTAGGGTGCGCTCCCGGCCTTGTGACAGGTGGACACAGTTGGCAGCCTGAGGGTGTGGCTGGGCTCCTGTGAGAGTCCCGTGCTTGGGGCCCAGAGGCTCAGGAGTCTGGGGCCGGCTCCCACGCACGCAGTAGGGCAAATGGGGCCGTGTGGGAGGCTTGTGTGGAAACCCTATCCCTCTTGGAAAAAGACTTAACTCCTGCCCTTTGAGTCCTCTGGGGAGAGCAGTCAGGCCGCGTGCCCCGGCAGGAGGGGTGGGCTCTGCTGGGCTGGGGAACCGGCAGCGCTGACTGCCCTGGGTGGGAGAGGGCTGCTTTTCCCATCAGTCCCCTCCTGCCCCGGAACCTCGGGGAATCTGTTTTCCAGGTTAGGGTGTGAGTGCGCACGACGCCACAGCTGACCTGGAGGGAGGCCGGCTTTGTGGGGGGCATGTGGGTGTGTGTGGGACACCCCTTCCTCTGGTGTCCAAGTTAGAGGTGTGCGGCACGGCCCTCCACGGCTGGGACGTTGGCAAAGGTCTTCCCAGGTGGCAGTGGCCCAGGTGTGGGCTTGCTCTGAGCCCTGGCCCTGCTGTGGCCCGTGGGCCGTGGCCTCCCCTGCTGGGTCTGAGCCCAGAGTCGGGGGAGTGTGGGGGCCACTGGACAGGGGCTGCGCAGCTGGTGTTCACGTTACCGGCTTGTGTGTGGGTGGACAGGAAGGGGGCTCAGTTACTGAACGGCATGACCTGGTCGTGCCCTTTGCAGCGGCTGGCCGTGTCCCCAGTACCTGAGGGAAGTAGTACCCAGTTGTGACGGAGGCCTGTGGTCTGGCAGTGCCCTCGAGAGGGTCACTTGCAGCTGGGCTGTTCCAGTCTTATTCCAGGGCAGAGGCCAGGCTGGAGCTGCTCTGAGGTCTGGGGTGGTGAGTGCCCTGTAGGCCTGTGGGAACCCAGGCCTCAGTAGAGGCCTCTTCCTAAGTGCGTCTTTCAGAGGAGGGCTGGGACCCTGGCCCGTCATCCTGTGTCCCCCCAGACTGATGTATGTCTCTTTCTCTGTAGGCTGGTGCCCCTTCCCTGGCGACGGAGGCGGAGGTGAGCACCCTGGACGAGGATGAGTATGCAGGTGACAGCTCTGATGAGGAGGTGAGGCCTTGCGTAGGGCTGTCGGAGGGTCCTGGCCTCGCACCAGGCTGGCACTGGGCTAGCGTGTGGGCCTGGGTCTGTGCATCGGGGTGGGGGTGAGCTGCGGGCGGGTTGGCAAGGCCAGAGCAGTCCAAGTGGGCATCCTGGCTCAGGGCCGAAAGCTTCTGGAGGAGTGATTTGGGGTCTGGGACCTGTGACTGTGTGTGTGTGTCACTGCCCGGCTAGGGAGGGTGGGGGATGAGGCTCTGGGCCAGGCCTCTGCTCCCTGGGTGGCCCTGGGTGGCTTTCCCTGTACCCAGCCAGCCTCTGCTGGGACCCTGGGGAGGGGTCCGGGGGGAGAGTGTCCCTGTTTAGGCCCCCACATGCCTTGGGTCGCCCTACAGGCTCATACTGCCTGTCCGTGGGGTCAGCTGAGATCCGCTGTGTGGAGCAGACACAGCAGCCGGTCCTTGAGCCGGTCCTTGAGCAGAGTGGATGCTCTGGGGTGTGGTTGGCTTGAGAGTGCTGCCCCTCGGTGGGTCAGGAGTGGCTGGGAGCTGGAGCCCCAGCAGTGTTGGTGGTCGTGCACACCAGGGCCTGCAGCAAGCCAGGGGACGGCCGGAGGGGAGGCGGTGGTGTGAGGTCCACAGGGCAGGTCACTTCTCTCCAGTGGTCTTCCAGCCTACCTGGGGAGGCCTGCTGCGGCCCTGGGGACGGCCTCCCTCTGTGCGGCCTCCCTCCCCCTGCTCTTGGCCGTGGCCGCACAGCCTGGCCCTCCGCCCGCTCCGGGCTGTGCTGTGCGTTCAGAGAACAGAGACAAAACAAAATAAATTGGTTTCCTGGCCGGGAGCGGTGGGCGTGCGGCGAGGGGGTGCAGCGTGGCCCCCGCCCGTCTCCCCACCCCCTTCCCAGGGGCCCTGGCCGTCGGCGGCCACATCCTGTCGGCTGCTGCTCTGTTTGGTGTTGTGAGAAGTCACCGTGATTTGGAGTGTGGCAGAGGCGAGGGGGCGGGTCCCCAGCCCTGAGGAGTCCTGGGGCAGACCAGGGGCGGCACTGCAGGGGGCTCTGGGTGGGCAGCCTGCCCGGCGGAGGAAGCTGTGGGGGTAGGGCACTTCCTCCTGCGATGACTATCCCATATGGCGCCGGGACTGAGTGACGTGCCTCTGTGGCCTCCCCCCAGCCCCGGTTCCCCGCCAGCACAGCCGGCCTGTGGCTCGAGGGGGCGGCAGAGCTCAGCTTTCAGGAGCCAGCGCCTTGCAGCTGGTCCCCAGGTCTGTGAGCGTGGGGGGCAGGCTGGGTGCAGGCTGCACGGGTCCATCCTCTTGGAAGGGACTCTCCTTGCGGGAGGCAGGGCTGTACGCCCTGGGGTGCAGGGTGGTCGGGGAGCCCAGGAGCCTTGCCCTCTGGGCTGCCCCTGTGGTTCTGGGGCCACTCTTCTGCTTTGGCCAAATGCCCAGCCTGGGAGGCCCTGGTCAGGGGCCGGCCTATTGGGGTGCACCCCTGGTCTGTAGCTGGGCCTGGCCTGCAAGAAGGTGTGTGTGTGAAGGCCTGGGCCCCTGCTGGGAGGGGCGGCTGCCCAGTTCTTGGTGGTCGTAGTGCTGGGACCCTCACCCTCACACCTTCTCCTACCCCTGCCCCCCTTCATTCACTGGCACAGCTGCCTGGAAACCCAGCTGGGCTGGGCAGCGCTGGCACGCTGGTGGGTGCGGCTGGGTGGCGGCGCCAGGCCCCGCGCGGCTTCCACGGCCCCACCCTGCCAGAGGCCACCAGCCACAGGCTGGGCCTGCTGGAGGGCTGGGGGCCCTGGTGAGCAATTACTCTGGAGAGGAGCTTGGCAGGAGGGAGTACAGTGGGGGTTCCGGGGGGCCCACGGCCACCCTGTCCCACCAGAGTCTTCTCCCACCCCCTCGGGCCCACTCAGGATTCTATCAGGTCGAGGTGGCCTGGGCTGGGGGCAGCTGCAGCTTTGGGGTCTTGCTTTGGGGGGAACCCTGGCGCTGACCAGCCCTGACGGGAGTTGGTTCCTTTCTTCCTCCCCGTCCCTCAAGCTCACACCCCCGCTGCTGGGTGGCCCCAGGACGGGTCCTGCTGCAGTGGAGTGGGGGCGGCCCCCAGGCGCAGGCCGCTGCCAGGCATCCTCCCCGCCCCCACACGTCCACCCCACACCTCCCCACACGACAGCGCTTCACAGACGTGATCTCATCCGCTGCGGGACCCCCAGGGAGGTGGGCCGGGGGCGAGGGGCGGGCCGGGGGCGGCAGCCTTCCGCACGGCAGTCCCTCCTCCTCTGCAGAGCAGCTGGGAGAAACTGAGGCCTGCGGGGCGCGTTCGGGCGCGTGTGGAGGAAGTGGGGCAGGCTCAGGGTGAGGGTCAGGCGCTGTGCACTCGCTCTGGGCCGGCCTGCAGGCCCCCCAGCCCGGCCCCCCAGCCCGGCCTGGCTGTAACTCGGGAGCCTACAGGGACGGCCGGCCCGTCTGCATCCAGAGCCCGCCGTCCCCTCTGCTCTCGGGCCAAACGCCGTTAATGGCTTCTCCCGGCTACTGAACGGCAGCTGCCTCCGTGCTGGCGCTGCTCCTGCGCCCCGCCCGCCTGGCCGCCCGCCGGCTGGGAGCGGGGAGCCGGGCTCTGGCAGCCGGGCTGCGGCTCAGGTTTCTGAGTGAGCGAGCAGCCTCCCTCCCTGCTGTTTGTGAAGCCGGCTTGGCCCTGCTGCCTCTGGGGCCTGCAGCCGCCCCATTCTCCCTCAGCAGCAGGCCTCCCAGTGGGGATGCTGGCTGGTCTGGCCGGGGCTCCCTGGGACCTTCCCCTCCCCCTGCCAAGGGCGCATGCACAAGACACCTGCCTGGGCTTGGCCCCGGAGGGTGGGCACGGAGGCCGCTGGCCGGCCGGGGGTGAGGCACGTGCAGCCAGCCCAGTGGCCCTGGGGCTTTGCCTGTCCCTCTGTGCACCGGGCTGAGGGCCTGCCAGGGTATGATGGGGCAGGGTGGCGCTGTGCCGCTGTGGTCACGGGGCCTGCCCTGATCACAGCTGCCCTTGCACTTTCTCACTCTGGTTGTAGGAGTGGCAGACAGCGGGGTCAGCATGAGGGAAGACCGAGGGCAGGCCCCTGGGCCCTGGGGGTGCCAGCAAGGGGCAGGGGGCACCCAGTCAGTGGAGAGAGGAGGGTTTGGCCCCATGCTCTAGGTCACTGTGAGTCAGAAGTGACTCGATGGCAGTGGGTTTGTGTTTTTTGTCTTCGGTGTCGGCGGGGAAGGTGGTCGAGGGCTGTGCTAGGTCAGTCAGAGCCTCTGTTTCCTGCAAGGAGCTGGTTTTCAGGGGATGGCATGGGCAGGGCTGTGGGCTGTGGGGTGAAGTTTAAGGCTCTTTTGGAAGGTGCTATTAGGGCTGCCAGGAGTTGAGGCTGGGTGCTGAACAAGGGGGTGCTCCAGGCCCTGCAAATGTGAGGTGGGAGCTTGGCGCTGGGGGTGGTGAGTGGTTGGTTTGGAGGTGAGGGGTGGGCCGGTCAAGGAAGGTGTAGGTAGGGTCTGGGCCATCTGAGGACCCAGAAGCCGCTGGGGGGGATGCCGTCTCCACGGGCAGCAGCGTGTCTGAGGCCAGGTGATGCAGTGATGGGGTGTTGGGCAGCACCTCTGGGAGTTGGCACCCAGCAGAGGGGCCGGGGCCAGGGCCTGTTGTGTCCGGCCTGGGCCCTGTGGTTGGTTTGGCCTCCGGGAGCAGGACCTGGGCTCCTCATCTGGTCTCGGGAACCTTCCGTGGCGTGCTGCAGGTGAGCCCGGGCGCGGTCAGCCCCTGCTCGGCCAGCCACACCAGCACCACGCCGCCGTCTGACAGAGATGAAGAGGCGCTGGAGGAGCGGCAGACGAGGCACAGGAAGGCCGGTGGTGCTGGGAGACGGGGGGCCGCGTGCAGCGGGGGAGCGCGGCAACACTGCCGGCATTGTAATCGGAGAGGGGCAGGGAGAGCGGGACCAGCAAGGGCGGCTGACCCCGCACTCCCGGGGGACAGGTGGGGAGCGGGAACGAGGAGAGAGTGAAGAATTCCAGAGGTGGGCCGGCTTCCTCTCTCGCAGACAGACACAGGGCGGGCAGCCGGCCAGGCGTACCTGCACTTCCAATCTGCGGGCCTGACAGCTGCAGCCACTTTGGGGAGGGGGAGGGGAGCGAGCGCATCGAGAGCGGAAAAACCCCAGCCGACCATCAGCCAGTCGCTGGCCTGTGTCCGGTTCCGTCTGGGGGGGCACGCGGCAGTGGGCGGTGCAGGACCCCTGGCTGGCTGAGTGCCCCGAGCTCCATCCTCGGGGTGGCCCCCCGGAAGGGAGCCCGTCCTGCCAGGCGGAACCCCTGGCTGGGCCCTGCCTGGGGTCCGGAGAACAGCGCCTGCCCCAGGCGGGGGTCCCGGGCCCGTGCGCCCCAGGCTTCGCATGTGTTTCCTGGCAGCCGCAGGTGCTGAGCGGGGCGGGGGCGCTGGTCTGGGCGCGGGCCGTGATGAATCATGTGGGGAGGCCAGCAGCTCATTCCCGGCCGGGGACAGGGGGCTGACAGCTGGGGCAGAGACCGTTTCCAGCCCGGCCGGGCGGCCGCAGGGCGGCTGGCAGCCCCCACCCTCAGTCACCTCCGGGCAAGAGCTCAGGGCCCAGTGCTGCCAGCCAGGTCCCTGAGCTGGGCTGGGGCAGAGCCGGGCAGGGAGCACCTGCCCCCTTGGGCCTGGTGGCCACGCACCAGCCCAGCCCCAGGCCTGGTTCTGGAGCCGCGGAGGGTGACAGTGTTCTTCTCCCGCCCCCTCCTTCCCTCACTCGCCTGCTGGCTGCCAGGATCTCGGCTGTACCAGGACCTCTGTGCTGCTGCCCGGCTGGCCTGCCAAGCTGCAGCCGCTGCAGAGCCACGGGCCAACGCAGCACAGCGCTGGGCGGTGGTGGCGCCGCAGGACGTGGAGGCCAGCCCTGACCAGCTGGGCCTGCATCTGCCTGGGGTCCTCACCTCCACGCTGCCCCTGACCCAGGCCTGCGCCTTCCTGGGACGCCTGGGCATGTGTCGGTGCCTCCCTCCCTGCAGTGAACTCCTGCCCTGCCCTCCTGTTCCACCCTGGACACGACTGTAGACCTCGAGGCTTCCCCATCTCTCCCCTCCCCCCGCCACTCGCTCTGTGGGTCCCGCCACCACCCAGTGCCATATCTAGCATCACCTGCTGCAGTGAGGCACCTCGTCACACCGAGGCCAGGCTGAAGGTTGAGGCTGCAGACAGGATGGGGAGCTGCAAGGACCTGGGTCTCCCCACCCCACTGTGCACAAGAGCTGGGCCCTCAGTGAGCTCTGATCTTCTAGTCACTGTGTTGGGACCGGCAGGGCCCAGTGCCTGGACTGTCTGCCCTGAGTGGTGACCCACTGGCCCACGTCCTCAAAGGGGCTGAGCCGTGCATAGCTTGTGGGTGTGGAGACCCCAGGCTGCCCCTGTGCAGACTGGCACAGACCCCATGGCGGTGGCCTCCTCTTGCTACCTCAGCCCCCCCATGGTTGTGTGCCACTGGCTGAGGTGCTGGGGTACCTGCCTGCAGCCCGGCTGTGCCTCAGGATCGCTCAGGCCTAGCTCTCTGGGATGGCGGGCAGGGGCCTCTGTGATGATTGTGCCCCCCCCCCCCCGCCAGCTGTGGGCTCCTGCAGGATTAGGGAGAGGAAACTTGGGGTTGGGTTTCTCTCCGAATGGAGCCAGCCGGTAGGGTTTTTGTCCTTAGATTTCTATCGGATTGGACACAACCTCCAGCCCTTAATGGCTGTGGCTTTGAGTATTTCCTCCAGAGTCACACCACCGCTTCCTGCCTCAGCGTCCCTGGAGCCCCGTCCCAGCAGAGGAGCGGGGTGTGGGGGGGTGGGCACGCATGTCCGGCCGGGGTTCAGGAGGGGTGTGTTCTGAGTCTGCTCGGGGCCAGAGGGAGGCTCAGGAGCCAGGTCCCCCTTCCCTGCTGCCAGCCAGAGTCGGGGAGCCCATTGGTCGGCACCTGGCACTCCCCTGCATCGTGCCCCCACCCACCTGCCCGGAAATCGGGCTCTGCCGCCTGGGCTGGAGGAGGTGGCCATGGGGGCCGCCTGCCCCGTTGCTTCTCTGTTGTGCCCCGTGGAGCTCACATCACTGAACTATAATTGTCACCTGCAGGATTTTAATGGCTGGCCAGCTGTGTGCAGCACGGGGTGTGCAGGGGGCTCAGCCTCCTTGAGAGCGTGGGTGGAGCCTGGTGAGTGAGTGGAAGGCTGCCTGGGGTCCTTCCTCCAGGCAGAGTCGGGCAGAGGGCGGCCTCTGCACCAGTTGCCGGTTGGTACTGGTAGGGCCGCCAGGTGGGTGCTCCTGGTCCAGAGGGGTGGGTATGCTTCTGGGGGTGTTTGCCCAAGGACCCCCTTCTCCCCACTTGTGCTGTGCTGGCCTGGAGGTGAGCAAGCTGTGGGGGAGGGGGCCCACACCAGCCCTGGGAGAGATGCAAGGCCTCCAACGACTGGGTGTCGGGGTTTTGGGTGTGAGCAGGCCCTTGCCTGGGGCATGCTTTGGCTCTCCTGGGTGGTGTGGGAGTCAGGGTGGCAGTGTGTGCTGGTTTCTCTGCACGCGCCCCCTGGGCTGGCCAGGAGTGGACAGTGTAAAACCACTGCTCGGCCGAGGCCAGGCAGGTACGCTAGCCTCTCTGCCCTCCCACCCTTCAGCGGCCCCTGGGCCTCCCAGCAGCCATCATGCACTGACCCTGTGTCCCCTCCCATTATTGCCCCAAGCTCAGACTGTCTCCTGGTCCAGGGTCTGTTCCCACCCTCAGACCGGGCACCTGCTCTACTAAGCCTCTTGCCCAGAGCTGTTTAAGTGGACAGGCATCTCCGTGTGTGGAAGATATGGTTTTGTTTTTAATTATACAAAATTTCCAGACTTTATATTATATCAGAGCACACAGTGACCTAGAAGAAACCAAGGCAGGAGGCCAGCAGGAAAAGTTCCAGGTGGCCTGGGTGAAGGCTGGGGCCCCAAGTCCTGCCACCGTTGCCGCTGCCGCCGCCGCCGCCTGTCAGTAGACCCCATTCCAGCTGGGCCGGGCTGGCCTGGCCGCCCTGTCCTAGCCCCAGCCTGCCGGGCGCCTTTGGAATGTCCTGCAGAGGGTCCACGGGGGCTCTCCTGGCTGTCCCCACTGCGGGCACCTCCAAGCTGGCTGGGCTCCTCTAGCTACGAATCGCCATCTTTCTGTCCCGGTCCTTGCTCTGCAGAGGGTGGGGGGAGCATGAGGTGGGCAGGGGCCCAGGCACCCCAGGCCAGCCCCGCTCTGTCGTCCCCTGCGGCTCTTTCCACTGGGTGCTGTCCGGGGTGCAGGCCCTCTGGCCCCCTTGCTGGTGTGCCCCCGTGTTCTCGTGCAGCGGGGGCGCTTTGCACAGTCGAAATTGTAAAATTAAATTTCCCAGATGTTCAGGCCCCAGGAGCCCGCACTCCGTGCCGTCTGGAGAGGAAATGGGGATTGGGGAAAGCCAGGCCACGCTTGCTCCCTACTTACCCTGCCTTTCCTGTGCACCAGTGTGGCAGGGCTGTAAATCACAGGCCACAGCAGCCCCGTGGCGTGTCCCCACCCGGACACCTGCCCTCCCCCAGTCCCTGGCAGCCACAGGGCTCTGGGCTGTCTGAAGTTGGAGCCCTGGAGGGGGTGGGGGAGGGACCAAGGAGAGATCAGCAGGTGCTTCTTGGGTACAGGCAGGGCTGGGAGCTGTGTGCTGGCCTCAGGGCCCCCAGAGTTCCCTTCCCCTGACTGCCGGGTGGGTGGCCACCCTGCTGTGCCTCCCCTCAGACCCCCCCGGACCTGGGTGGTCTTCTCTGGGCTGTCCCAGCTCCTGCCCTCTACCCCGAGTCTTGCAGGAGCCTGTGTCTAGGGTCGGAAGGGGCGCCTTGATGTCCCAGCTCCTCCCCGACCCCAACCCCGGCCTCCTGGAGTTGGGCAGATTTGGGTTCTGCCCGCCCCGGGCCCCGTGCGCACCCGGCCGCTGCCCGCCCCAGGCCCCCTGCGCGCCCCGGCCGCGCGCTCACCAGCTTCCTCTGGTTGCTCAGGCAGAAGGTGCAGATCTGCTTGGGCTGCGCGTTCTCGCTGTCCCGCGGCGGCGGCGGCGGCGGCGGGGGGCTGCCTGCGCGCGCGGGGTGGTAGAAGGCGGGCCCCGAGTGGCACGGCTGCCCGTCGCCGCAGGCCTCGCCCACCAGCAGCACGTTGCCCAGGTGCGAGATGTAGCTGGAGGCCAGGCGCAGCGTCTCGATCTTGGAGAGCTTGCGGTCGGCCGGCTCGGTGGGGATGAGCGTGCGCAGCGCCGTGAAGGCCGTGTTCACGCTGTTGGTGCGGTCCCGCTCGCGCGCGTT